AATGGAATGATTCTCTCTGACCCCAATGGAATGATTCTCTCTGACCCCATTACAGAGTTCTCTCTGACCCCATTGCAGGGCTCTCTCTGACCCCATTGCAGGGCTCTCTCTGACCCCATTGCAGGGCTCTCTCTGACCCCATTTGAAAGGTTTTCTCTGACCCCATTACAGGGCCCCATTATAGGGTTCTCTGACCCCATTGTGGGGCTCTCTCTGACCCCATTTCAGGGTTTTCTGACCCCATTTCAGGGTTTTCTGACCCCAGTTGCAGGGTTCTCTCTGACCCCATTGCCGGGTTCTCTCTGACCCCATTACAGGATTCTCTGACCCCAGTGGAAGGGCCCTCTCTGACCCCATTACAGGGCCCCATTACAGGGTTCTCTCTCACCCCATTACCGGGTTCTCTCTCACCCCATTACCGGGTTCTCTCTCACCCCATTACCGGGTTCTCTGATCCCATTTCTGTGGTTCTCTCTGACCCCAATGGATTGATTCTCTCTGACCCCATTACAGGTTTCAGTGACCCCAATGGAATGATTCTCTGACCCCATTACAGGGCTCTCTCTGACCCCAATGGAATGATTCTCTCTGACCCCAATTTTGGGGTTCTCTCTAACCCCATATCCCCGTTTTCCAGGCACTACCCCGCCCTGAAGACCCTGGAGCACCTGGAGCACACGTACCTGCCCCAGGTGAGCCATTACCGCTTCTGCCAGGCCATGGTGGACACCATCCCCCGCCTGCGCGACCARATCCGGGAACTCTCCATGGCCGACCTCAAGGACTTCCTGGAGAGCATCCGCAAGCACTCGGACAGGATCGGCGAGACCGCCATGAAACAGGTCAGAAATGGGGGAGAATTCCATAATTTGGGGTTTTTGGGAAGAGGTGCGGGGCTGAGTCGTGTGGAAAGTTCTGCTTTTCCAACCTGAGGAAACGACCAAGGTTGGAATTCTTTCCGTGGTTCCTCCTGGAGTTTTATCCTGATTTTTAGAGCATTCAGTGATGATCCATTGTGTCCTTGGCTTCTCCCCCCTGGAATTTTCCTTGGTTTCTGTGCAGTTGGGGTGTAATGGGTGGGATTTGAGGCAAATTCCCATTTTTTGGGAAGAGGTGCAAGGCTGAGTTGTGTGGAAGTTCAGCTTTTCCAACCTGAGGCAACGATTGAGTTTGGAATTCTTTCCGTGGTTCCTCCTGGAGTTTCATGCTGATTTTTCTGGGAAGAGGTGTGAGGCTCAGTCGTGTGGAAGTTCAGCTTTACCAACCTGAGGCAACAACCGAGGTTGGAATTCTTTCTGTGGTTCCTCCTGGTTCCTCCTGTGGTTTATCCTGATTTTTCTGGGAAGAGGTTTGAGGCTGAGTTGTGTGGAACTTCTGCTTTGTGACCAGACTGATGTTAGAATTCTTTCTGTGGTTCCTCCTGGAGTTTTATCCTGATTTTTCTTGGAAGAGGTCTGAGGTTCAGTTGTGTGGAAGTTCAGCTTTTCCAACCTAAGGCAACGATTGAGTCTGGAATTCTTTCCGTGCTTCTTCGTGGAGTTTTATCCCGATTTTTAGACTATTGAATGCTGATCATCCATTGTGTCCTTGGCTTCTGCCAGCTGGAATTTTCCTGGGAAGTGCAGTGAAGATGTAACAGGTGGGATTTGGAGGGGATTCCTGGTTTTTTTGTGAAGAGGATGGAAATTCAGTTGTGTGGAAGTTCAGCTTTTCTGACCTGAGGCTGTGATTGAGGTTGGAATTCTCTCTGTGGTTCTTC